CAGTTTGACTTTCTCTTCAGTGATGCTTCTTTTGAATGTACTTCTGTGAGGTACCAACAAGTCAACGGTGTTAAAAGTGCTTTTTCAGTTGCTGTACATTTAAAGCCCTGTAGCATCTTTTCCCAAGCTCTCCAAGCATGTGGGATACTACTGAAAGTCCCTGGACAACTATCCAGAAGCCTCATGCCTCCTAAACTTTTCTACTAAATTCCTGGAGCAAAAGAGAATAATTGTTTTGCAGTCCTTATTTTCTTCCTATTCATTCCTAGGTACTCTGTAAGACGACAGTTTCAAACTGCACATCTTTGTGTTGTTGTAAATTGCCACCTTTGAGATTACTTCTGTTTCTTCTCCACATTCTATGAAGATCAATCATTATTCTCATCTTGATTGGGTTAATATTGTAGAAAATCTGGAGTGTACTGTAATTTTGCATCCTCTGGTTGACTTTCAGAGAACAGTGAGCATACCATTTTAGGGCACTTGTTCTTTGGAAGTCCAGAGAGGTTGCTTCTTTTTAGAAGTGTGGTTTTATTTTGTGCATTTTAATATATATAAATTTCTTAAGCTATAGTAACTCATTATAAATAATTCATCCTGGGGAGTGGCTAACTTATCTGAATACATAGAAATACAAGAGAGATCCAAATAAAATTATTGTTGTATTCTTTTTCTTATAGTTGCTCGGTCCTAGACTATGAATTAGGCTTCAGAAACAAAAGACAAAATTACATAAGTTTAGAATTGAGTCAATCTCAAGTAATGTTTACAGACAAAATTGGCCCAACTCTTTGGACTGATTTGAGTGCTGAAACTAAAATTACATGTATTCCACAAAATAAAACTAACCAATATCTGCTAGAAGGGATCACTTTTTTTCCCATCTAAATCTGTGACGTTATTAATATAGCTTATCCTGGTTGTATATCTAACCCAATATGTATAAATAAAATTTGCTTCTTTTATTCTGAATTTACAAGTCTATAAAACAAAGTAATACATCCCAAATCTGCTAAACACTGCTTGAAAACTTTATAGATTTTTTTATATTTTATCCTTGATTTAACCCTTAATTAGAGGAATTAATATTGCTAGTTCTGTTTTGCAAATGGGAAACTGAGGCTTGAAAAGGTTAATTAACAAGTCCAAGGTCACTCAGCTAATAAGCAAAGAATTTGTGATTAAAATAGAGGCCTAGGTCAATGACACAGCCTAAGCTCACGACCATTGTACTAAATAGCTTATCATTATTGCTGGATTTTGCCCATTAGATGAAGATAATATTCACTAGTGGTAACTCCATACTAAGGAAAAAGTCAAGTTTGCAATTTAATCCTAATGTATCTGATACAAGAAGTTGTGTGTGTGTGTGTGTGTGTGTGTGTGTGTTTTCTTTTTAAGGCAAGTACCTGCATAATAGTGGTCCAATAGAAATCATGAATGTTACAGGTCAACAGTTAACTGAGGAGAATTTCAGAGATGCTTGTGCTGGGTCTGGTTCTAATTAGTAGTTCACTGTGAAGAATACCAAACACAGACAGGCGCTCAAGATTAAATTAAAAAAGAAAAGGCCATTTTATCCAATAGAAACCTTTAAAAAAATGTCCCGAATAAATTGTTGCATACCTAACAATTTTCTCCTGGTGTTTATTACAGGATGTTGCCAAAGTTGGCCTATTTGGTGCACGGCCAGAAGTTTTGCAATTTCCCTCTGATCTGAAAACATTTTTGTCAGACTTTCTTGTGAGTCATCAAATTTTCCAGACATCACACAGTTGAGTCAATTAAAATAAAGTTAATTGGTATTTTTGTCCTTTGCCAAATTAAATCATTCCTTATGGAGGAGTTTGTACCTTGCTGGAGATGCCTTTTGGGAAGGTGGGAGTTCAGAGGTAAAGGCCAAGATACTGTTATATTCCTTTGGAAAAAAAAAGGTGATTCTTTTTCTAAAAATAAGAAATACCATTTTAAAGTAATGTAGATGCCAACCCTTGGAAAAATAATCTCTTGTGTTTCCTAGGGTTTTACTTAAGTGTGCCTGCAGAGGAATGTAAGTAAAACTGATGGTCATAGAGAAATCACCCTGAGAGGCTGTTCTCTTTCATAAATGTTTAATTACATTATTTTATTCATTCTTTAACATTTTTTGCTTAACGCTTATGGCACACATTTGAAGTTGAGCTCTTTGGTGATGTCTTATGTAAAGTTTAGTGGAAAATAATCACATGTTCTAATAACTTCTTGACCTTCCCTCCAAAACTTCTCTCATGTGGTTATCTGTATTTTTTAGATGGATCAGGAACCAGAAATTGTTATAGGCTCACTGTGTTCTTTCTTTTAATCAAAGGACTATGCTGCACTGCTGATGGTTATTTTAACAACTTTAATAATGAAAGTCATCATTTATTTTACCTGTCATGAACATGGTGCTGGAAATATCAAATAAATTAATATATTTTTTCTTTTCATCTACAGTTATAATACCTTTATGAGGTAGAAATTATTCCTATCAGAAAACTGAGGTCCAGATAGGTTAAGGTTATTTGCATGAGATCACACAGCTTTAAGTGGGAGAGATTCAACCCTTTCTCTGCATAGAAAAGGTCATTTTCAAAGGCTCTTCTATTTATTCTGAATATAGTTCTGAGTATGGGTATGGAAATGATCAAATATTATATTTACTGGTAGTGAGAATTAACTAGAAGTTTTGACAATATAGAGACACAGTCAGGTGATTAATCCAAAGGAAAAGAAAAAGTACACAAAATGAAACTGTTTATTTTTTTTTCATATGTACATAATGTTTTTCGTTGACAAATAAAAAGTATATACATTTATGGTGTACAACATGATGTTTTGATATATGCATACATATGGAATGACGAAATGAAGTTAATTAACGTATGCATTATCTCATATATGTATCTTTTTTTGTAGTTAGAGCACTTTAAATTTACTCTCTGATACGGTTTGGCTGTGTCCTTGCCCAAATCTCACTTTGAATTGTAATAATCTCCACATGTCAAAAGTGGGGCCAGGTGGAGATAATTGAATCATGGAGGTGGTTTCCTCCATACTATCCTTGTGGAATAAGTCTCACAAGATCTGATGGTTTCACAAATGGGAGTTTCCCTGTAGAAGCTCTCTTGCCTGCTGCCATGTAAGATGTGACTTTGCTCCTCATTTGACTTCTGCCATGATTGTGAGGCTTCCCCAGCCATGTGGAACTGGGAGTCAATTAAACCTCTTTCCTTTATAAATTGCCCAGTCTCGGGTATGTCTTTATTAGCAGTGTGAGAACAAACTCATACACTCTCTTAGCAATTTTTAAGTATACAATATGTTGTTATTAACTACTATCACCTTGGTACAGAACAGATCTCTTTAACTTATTCCTCCTTGGGATTTTCAAACAAATAATTGTGCCTGTCCTGGTGGCCAGTAACAGATGTCCTGCAACAGATGGCTGCAACAGGGAATGTGCCCCTGTTGCCTGAAAAAAAGTGACAGTCAGTGTAAGAACACTGGGGAGCAGACCCTGAATTGAGAAGCATCTGTCTGTTGCCTAATTCCGTTCCAAAGGTTTATTTTGATTCTGATCATCATTTAGGAATTTCTGGCACTGATTTTTTCAATAGAAGTCTACTCTTGTTACTACATCCTGCAACAACAGAAGGACTTGACTATCTTAGAGAACATTTCACATCCTGAAAGTTTTGCTTCATGGACTTCATTTTTTAAGATTGCCTTTATTCACTACTTTCCTTCCCATAGTTACCCTCTAAAGAATTTAAACTTCTGCCTGGTAGACGTTGCCAGAATAATATTAAGGCAAATATTTGGCATATGCCCTGGGTCATAGTGCTATTAGAAATAAGACAGGATGAAAGTATCACAGATCCAAGTGTAGCTCTCATCATAAAGCAGAAACATTTGGATAACTCTTACATAATTAATCGGATCACACTGTTCTCTGCTCAAAACTCTCCACTGCTTCCTACAGTACCTGCAATAAAAACTAAATATTTAAGTACCCTATAACAGTCTACAGGACATGGGTACTGCCACCCACTCAAAGTACCAAAGGCCACTTTGACCACTCCCAGCATTTGATTCCCTCCACACTGACTTCTCTATCCTTAGCACACCAAGCTTGTGCCTGCCTCCAGGGCTTTTTACTTGCTACTTCCTCAGGAAATATTTCTGTCCCCAAAGCTTTTGCCTGCTTCATTTCTTCATGTAATTCCAGCCCCACTAAAACCTTCTCACAATGATCTGACCAAGTTCTCTGAAATAGCCTTCTTATCCCCTGCTCCTTTGTTCTCAAGTCCTGCTCTGTTTTGTTTTCTTAATGGCATATTTCGCTATCTGAAGCTATATAATTTATTTATGTATGACTAAGTCTCCCCCACAAAGATGCAAACTCAGTGATGTAGAGAATATGTTAATCTTATTCCCAGTTTATGACAGCACCTGGTTCCTAGCATTTACTTATTATATTTTTAAATAAACAAACAAATAAATGTTGCAGTAGGTGGTCTCTAATCCCCTTCCCACCCTCACCCACACTCCCACAAGTCTCTGGTGTCTCTGTGTTTAAGCCCTAAAAAAAAAAAAAAAGGGAAATTTGCTTCTTACTAGCCTAAAATTGACCTTCTGAAGGTAATACTTTCTCTGCAGGGAATGTTCTCTACGTTCAGGGGAAAAAACACCTAAACTATACGTTATAAATTATCCAGGACAACTTTTTTTTTTTTTTTTTTTGAGACAGAGTCTCTCGCTCTGTCACCCAGGCTGGAGTGCAGTGGTGCAATCTCCGCTCACTACAAGCTCCGCCTCCCGGGTTCACGCCATTCTCCTGCCTCAGCCTCCGGAGTAGCTGAGACTACAGGCGCCCGCCACCGCGCCTGGCTAATTTTTTGTATTTTTAGTAGAGACGGGGTTTCACCGTGCTAGCCAGGATGGTCTCGATCTCCTGATCTCGTGATCCGCCCGCCTCGGCCTCCCAAAGTGCTGAGATTACAGGCGTGAGCCACCGCGCCCGGCCCAGGACAGCTTCTGAAAACGATTGTTTTACCTTACTACTGCCTTACCTCTTCCACCCTGACCTCCCACCTTATCCTAAACTGGAGGTTGCTGTTGATGTTGTCTTGTTTCTGATCAAATTTCCTAAATAATTTTGGATGCTCTATTTGCTCCAAATTCAACAAAATATTAATATGATAACTTCCTACTCCAGGCCACAGGACAAAGTTCCCCCAAGCAAGCTTCCACACACATACCCAGATATGCACCAGATCCAAGGCCTTCTTGTAACACTATGATTTCTTGTTGATTTGAAACAAATCAAAACAGTGGTTTATAATGGAGAAGTTTTAAATTTCAGGCATGTTTTTAGAGACTAAACCTAATAAAATTATTAAGTGGAAGCAAAGCAAATCAAGAAATTCTTGATTTCTTTTTTGGATGTATGCATAATTAATGTTGGTTCCCTGGCAATCCCATCTTTCTAGTTGGTTCTTCCATTATTCCTGGCACACTTATAGTAATATTTGCTGATCAGAGATGCATATTGACTCCTAGGTGGGGATGATCTTTTTACCTGTCATTGGGTACACCTTTTATTTTGGAGGCACCCTCAGTTTTTTCTTCCCCTTTCTTATTTGAGAGTTTCAGTCTTCTCTTTGGGAATCAGGCCCTAATTCTCTTTCATTATTTACAGGAAGAGATTAAAAGGCTTCATTCAAAAAGAACCTAGGAAACTTGCCTTAGTGTCTCAATGACAGGTGGAATTGATCGGCAAGCTGTATCTGGTTGCTCAAAACAGTGCAGCATCCACAGTGTGACAGATCATGGATGAGATGTTAGTGTTGTAGAAACAAAAAACACTTTAGTGAATTCACTTATTAACATGTCATTCAATTTTATGTCTGAGTCAACAGCATGGTATTAAGGTTTTGACACAGTGGTGTCTCAACTGTATTGTTTATTCCTTGTAATAAAATTATTATTTTGTTTTTATGCATGGTGCCACTACAGCATTTTCCACCCAGTGGGTGCTCTATAAATATTGACTGATTGGAATTTGGAACTGTAAGTGTTATAATTTAGAGGTTATTGGCTCCTTATAATTGCGTTTGGGAACTACAAATTCAGCTAAAATTGGAGCTCTACTCTGAAACACTTCCATTGAGCTTCTGGTCTAAGTTACCCAGAAAACCCTTAAGGTAAAAATTCTCCTCTTTTTACAGCCTCAAATCTATTATTTAAAGCCAATAAACAGTGGTTTATAATGGAGAAGTTTTAAATTTCAGGCATGTTTTTAGAGACTAAACCTAATAAAATTATTAAGTGGAAGCAAAGCAATATTATTTGTTTTGGTCGTAGACTTTGAATATCCAAGAGAATCATGGATATCATGTCTCAGTAATGGTTTTGAGGTTTGACTCCTGCTTCCTTAAATGTAGGAAATGGCACTGAGAGTGGTACATGGCTTTATTTTTAGGTTAAGAGCCTACCTTTTAAAGGAAGCAGTTACCTGTATATGTAACATCCTAAAGCAGATTTCAGATACTTGAGGAGAGTCTGTTTTTAAGAATCATGATGAATTATTGCTTGCCTTAATGAAATGGCTGTTATTGTAAAACACTGATAATATCTGTAAACAGTGTCATTAAAAGGTGAAATAAACCTTAGATAATAAGTACAATAAACCCGACAAAATATCTATCTCTGACAGAATAAGAATATATATAAGAAAATATATAACTTCATTGAGATCTAATCTTTCAGTTCTTTTTTAGCTCCGTTAACAATTATTTAGCATATGCCAAGCCTTGAGCTTTCACACAGGTTTACAAATATGAATAAAACCTCATCCCTACATAGAAGAATCTTAGGAGAGACATGGTTTCAAAATGGGGTTCCTACACCATGGATTTACAAGAAAAGCCTCTGATTACAGGATGAAAATACCAAAATGCTTATTTCTGTTTATTTTTATAAAATAAAGAAATAGGTGAAATGTAAAATGCAAAGATGTCCAATGCAAAGAAATTAAGACAAACTAATCACCCATAGGGATCGTGGCATCTTGACTCTCTCACATTTACTATGATGAGTTTGGAGTGGTGGAAAACATAAAACCAAATACCTATACCTCTGCGTAATGTTTAAAATCATAAGAAATACAATTAAATTCTTACAAAATTTTATTAAACATAATAATCAATGTTTAAAAGGTTTATTTGAGGTGTGTTACTTAATGATGAAAAAAATACTTTTAGAAACATGCTTATTCTTCCTACCACAATAACAATGGCCAAAGTAATACATAGAAAATGATATAACATACAATTATATACTTAAATGCATTCCTTTGTCATAAAATCATTGGAAGATGCACAATATTGATACAGTTGTAAATATTAGACAGAAGCTACAACTTGGGAATTTTGCAATACCTTGGAAGAAGGAAGAAATGTTTCTAACATGTCCCAGCTGCTGGTATTTTCTCTATTCTGTTTCAACAATAACATACACAAAGAACTACTTGTTTTTTCTAACCACCAAAGGAGATAATATATTCGCAGCAGAACATTTTTTTAATAAAAATAATGTTTGTGGAAATAACTGTGAAGTGTAGTTACTGATGAAGCGGTTGCTCTTTACTGGAATTTTTCAGATGGATTTCAGGGAAATGTTGAGGAGAGAATATAATTTCCTGAATCCTTCATAGGCAAGCAATTTAGGCCAAAAAAAAAAAAAAAAAAAATTCCTAAATATATTCAGAGGCCATGCCCAAAACCAAAAATTCTAAGTGCTGCTAACTTTCTGTAAAGAAAAAAGTGCATACACTCAGAAACACATAGAGTGCATAAATTCTTAAGAAATATCCTCTTTATAATAACAAGGCATCTCAGATACAGTAGAATCTTTGAAATATTTTTTAAAGACTTTTTTGAAAAATGTTGTTGGACTTAAAGCTAATCTATATGCTTACTCTTTTACATAAAAAGGTATTCCAAATTTTTTGAAAAATGAACTTTACTGGTATGATGCCTAATGAATCTATTTTTAGGAATCACACACTCTAAAAACTGATTTTTAAAGAAACACTGGTTATAGAAAAATCATTTTGAAGAAGGATATAAAAACTGTTTCCAGGTTAAATTATTTCCTTTTCGCAAGTGTTATGAGTACATTTATCTGTGTCATTACTCATTATTTCTACTTATTGAAAAAATATTGGAGGTATGGTATTATCTTACCTGTTAAAATTTTACAAATAAAGAGTTCTTATGGGTTTTGAAACCTTTTATTAAATATTCAAATTAATAGTTTACAAAACTGGTGACATCAAGGAAAATGAAGTTATCAATCAAATTTCAACAAAACTTTGCCTAATTTATAAATCGAGTTTAAAAATGAGTTTCTTCATCTAATAAACTCAGTCTCTGATGCCCTTCTACCATTTGAACTTGCATATCTTCATAAGATTTCTATCTCAAAATACCTGATTATCTTACAAATATACATAATAGCTTGTTTGTTTAAATAGGGATCCTATAAGCTGGTCATTAGACCTAGCTAGCAGTGGTTGCACCATATTGTATTCAATTTTGTTTTCACCAAGAATGCTTCATAGACAATGTTGTATACTTCAGTTAGGAGTCATTTGATATTTAATTCTTTATTTGTATTACACTAACAACTATCAGGTAGACCCACTGGTTCATTATGGGCTGCAAATAGTAATATTGTGATTTTATCATTCTGTAAAGAGAAACATCTACGTCAACTATTTTTTTTTTTACCCTAAGGTACAGTTTGTCTAGGACAAGAAGGATAAACACCTGATTCTTTCATTTGTTAGTTTTCAACAGAATGATTTTGTTTCTTAGCATTATCCAAAGATGTCCAATGTATTTAAAAAATAAATTGACCATACTTGTTTTTTTCAATAAATTCAAGCATACTTGCTCTCTTTTAATCCATTGCATCTTTTATTGTTGTTGAGTGGGGGCCTCTTTAAGCTTATTTCAGAGTTTTTTGACATGCCCCCTCTAGCCTTGATAGCATCATGCTTTTTTGGTGCCTTTTTCCCCTTCAGATCTGAGTTTAGCCATTTCTCCAAAATGTCCTATTTCCTTTTAGTGAGAAATAATATAAATTATAATCTGGATGTTAGATGCTTCTTTTTTGCTTATTGGTTGGTCATTGATCACAGGTCTTTTCAGGAGAAACTGCGAAAAAGCATGAATTTTTTAAGATAGTAAAATGCATCTTGAATCCATACTGATAATACTAATTCAGAGTCAGGACTTGGCTTTTATTTAACCTAATTGATCTTTCATCGGCAGCACCTTTTATCCAGACGGAAACTCCTGGTCTCCAAAACATTAACATAATTTTTCATGTAATTTTTCCTACAAAATACACATAGCAGTCTCTGGATGACAAAAATTCACAATACCAACAACAATATGACTAATTTTGTGAGTACGTTTGGCATATATTCCACCAGAGCATATTGTCAAATCACTGTGCTCTAAAATTAATTCAAATAGTTTCTCTGTTTTTTGGTTGAGCCAGCAATGCAATGCACAGTTAACACATATAATTCATTTGCCATTCAATGTATCAGTTTCGTTTTTCAATAAAGTTTGCATTATAATTCTGTAAAACAATCACATGGTTCCAAAATGAAATCAATAGAATAAGGTATATCCATGGAAGTCCTATATTCTGGTACTCTCTATATCTGTTCCCGGGTTCGCGCCATTCTCCTGCCTCAGCCTCCTGAGTAGCTGGGACTACAGGCGCCCGCCACCATGCCTGGCTAATGTTTTTGTATTATTAGTAGAGACAGGGTTTCACTGTATTAGCCAGGATGGTCTCGATCTCCTGACCTCATGATCCGCCCGCCTCGGCCTCCCAAAGTGCTGGGATTACAGGCGTGAGCCACCACGCCCGGCCCCTTATAGGTAACTTTTTTAAAAATAGAAGTATTTGTTTTGGTTTTGGTCCCTCCAAACACTGCTTTATACAGAGTTTATCTCTACAGTGAGATATGTTTTGCCAAATGCACATTCTCACGCAATTTACATTCTTATCAACATAGAGACCATTTATTTATCCTAGAAGATTCTCCCAGACCCTTTCTCAGTCAATCCCACTCCTCAGAGTCACTGCTTTTATTTCTTGTCCCATAGTTTTGCCTTATGTAGAGGTTTATATAAAGAAAATTCATACAGAATGTATTCACATGTGACTGACTTCTTCCACTTAGAATAACGTTTTTGAGGCCCTTTTATTTTAGTGCACTTGTCAGTAGTTTAGTCCTTTTTTGTTGCTGAGTAGTATTCCATTGTTCGGTGGTACTACATTTTAAAAAGTACATATATTCACATTTGCTAGACACTTAGGTTGCTTACCATTTTACCTATTTTATATATAAAACACATATTTTTGTACAAGTCGTATTTTCTGTAAGTATGTTGTTCTTCCTTGTGTGTGCTACAGTTGGTACATGTTTAACTTCATGAGAATGTGCTAAGCAATGCACAAGATCTCCATCTGTTTCACAAACTCTATAGCTTTTGGTGTTGTTCATCTTTTAGTTTCTCTTTTCCATGCAGGTGTAGTGGTATTTCACTGTGGTTTGAATTCCCATTTCCATGAGGGCAATGCTATTGAGCACTTTTACCTGTGCTTTTTGGCTTTTTCTGTATCCTACTTTGTGAATTGTCTAAGTCTTTTCTCTATTTTTCAAAAGGTGTTTGATGTTGTTTTTAAATCTTTTCATTTTAAGAGTTATCTATTTGAAATACAAATCCCTTTTTCCAGTTTGTTTCTTTTTGTGTGTGTATGTGTTTTTGCTGAGCAGAAGTTTTTAATTTTGATTAAGTCCAACTTATCAATTTTTTCTGTACGGGCTTTCTGAATCTTTTAAATAGGTATATCCTAATTAACAAACCAATCAAGGTACATGACTTTCTGTAAAAAGCATTACTGACTGTATAGAAAAGTGTGTTTTTCAATGCATTAAGACATTTCAAATTGCCTTAAATGTTGTCATTTTACCTTTATCTGGTGCTTACAATGTCTATTTTACATATACCTTAAAATACACAATACATAATTAATAGAGGAGTATATATCTAAATTTATGCACACATAAATATATACCTGCATACATAAACAAATAAATATATATTGAGGTGCATATTCAGTAATGTTATTGATTAAGAACATGATAAAAATTTTGAGACCACTGGACAGTCATCTCAAAGTAGAGACAAAGGTATATACAGGATATTATTGTCATCCAGAGGAAAGATATTAAGCCAAACATGGAATTTAGACAAAACTTTCTGAATAAGATGACTGTCCATGTGAGTCTTAAGGAGTTAGTAATAATTATACAAGAGGCTATAAGAGAAGGCATGTAAGAAAGATACAGCAAGATGAACAAAAGCATAGATGCGTGAAATCTCATGGATTATGGGGGAAATTATATTTCACATTTATTAGAATTTTAAATCCAAGAAGAGATTATACGGGTTGGTAGGGACCAGATGGTGGAGGTCCTTGTTTTGCCATGCTGAGAGAATGGATTAAATGCTCAAGGTGACAAGGAACCACCCACTGAAATGATTTAAGAAGAGGAGTGCCATATTCCAATTCTAAATGCTCACCTTTGTAGCAATGGGAAGATGAGGTTGAGAAGAACAAAGCTAGAGCCTTAAGAACAGTTAGGGGATATTGCAATTGTGCAGGTAGCAGATTATGAGGACCTGGATAGGAGAGGAAGGGGTGTGTTTGAGAATCGTTCAAGGGGTAAAATCAGGAGGACCTGGTGATTTGCTGTGAAGGTGGATCAGGAGGTAGAGAAAGGAGAATTGTACCTAATTCTCAGGTTCTGGTTTGGGTAGCTGAGTATGATGGTGATACCACTAATCAATATCAAGGGAAACACAAGACGAGAAGCTACACCAGCATGGTCGCTGTTTCCAAGCTTTACTCTGCCTGTGCATCCATACAGGCTTCTCCACATTGACAGCTACCGGCTCCTGTCACTGTAAAATAAACTCCCTAGGAAAACATTTCTAATTATGTTATATTTGGAACCTAAAGTTCCCTTATACTATATTATCTTTCCAAGCATTTCTAAATGGTATACCGAACACAGATGGAAGTGCAAAATGGGGTGTAAAAATGACAAGCCTGTGTTTGAATAAAATTTATTCAACTATTTATTCAAGAAATATTTATTGAACAACCACTTCATGTCACACAGTGTCCCAGGTACAGGGGATACAGTGGTAAACAAACCTGACCTGGCCTCTGCCTTCAGGTTTCTTGTTTCCAGAAGGGTGCACAGAGTATGATGTTGGGGATAGTGCAAGGAGTAGTGAGGACATAGAGAAGGAACATCTATTTCCCTCAAAAGTCAGGAAAACCTTTCAGAAGAAGAATAAAGAATGAGGAGTTGGCTGGCTGAAAGAAGGAGCGGGTACGTGGAGGGAGTACTGCAGGCAGTACTGCCTGTAATATCACATGATAATATAAATATCATATACACATACATAATACACAAGGCATAGGGACGAGAAAGAATCAAACCAACAGGATGAAATGAACGTTCAACAGCACTGGAATACAGAGTGCAAGGGAGAGAGAGGAAATGATGAGATTCAACAAATATTTGCTGTACAATGTTCGACAAGGTTGGGTTTTACACTAAATTTA